GTGCTGTTATAAACATACTTGTACAAGTTTCTGTTTGAACACCTGTTTTCAGTTCTTTTGGGTACATACATACCTAGGAGAGGAATGGCTGGGTCAGAAGTTAATTCTGTGGTTACCAGGAGCCTCTTACACTTGCCATCTCTGATCCTCACCAGCATCCTGGGTCTGCTTGGCTGACGTCATCACTGGCTTTGTAGAAGGGACCTGTTTATCTTGATATTGTCTCCTGATGGCAAATCCTAAAGGGTGTTCCTAGTTTTTTTTATATCAACTTCTGGCTGTTTAGTGTTTTCCATTGTCTCAGCTATTTCAGATCCTCTATGTAATTTGTTCCTCACAGCAGTATTATAAGGTAGATAGTATTATGTCTGTTTTTCAGATGAGGAGGCAGAGAGTCAGTGGGGTGAAGTAACTTGACAAGGTCATAGCCATTAGGGCCCAGCTGAGACGGACTCCCAGCCCAGGCCCTTTCCACACCACCACAGTGGCCCTCTCTCCAATTTGCCTCTCTGTCCAAGGTCTTTAAAAAAAAATAACCTCCTGAAATTTATTCTCACATTCACATTTGCTTAGAATTCCTCTTGCTAGGTGATTAGTCAATGCTGACACAGACTTCCACACACACTCTGCCAGGGATCTCATTTATAATCAAAACGTTTTCCTAGGGCAGATTCTGCCTGTACTTTTGCCTTTTCTGGGTCTTCTGTGAACTGGAATCCTGGGTTAATGCTCCTTTTTAAATATGTTTTTTAACTGATTTTAGAGAGAAAGTAGGGAAGGGAGAAAGAAACATCAATGAGAGAAAAATATCCACTGACTGCTTCCTGCAAGTTCCCTACTGGGGATGGAGCCTGCAACCCTGGGGAATGTGTCCTGACAGGGAATCAAACCAGTGACCTCTTGGCACACAGGGTGCTCAACCAACTAAGCCACACTGGCCAGGTCAATGCTCCTTTTTGATGAATCTACATCTGAGTGTGGCCCACAAGCTGAACCTCAGCTCTTGAAATTTCCACCCTATTCTTCTGTAAACCCAAGTTCAACCAGAGAGCGCCTCCTTTCCCTTCTCAGGGGGACAGTATATCTTGGACTGGGGAGTCCCTGGACCTCTTTGGAGCAGAGAAGAGGCACAATGACCTCATTGGAATTGGGTATGACGCAATGGAATTGGGCCCAGTCTGCTGCTTAAAACCTCCAACCCTAGCACTTCCTACTTCCACATGAAATGCATGGGAGACTGAAAAATAAGGCAAGCAAACTAGACAACAGATAACAATGACAAAACTCAAAATTCATCAAAGGCATACCATGTCCCTGACACTTTGGGCATATTCATTCCCTCAATCCCCCACCCACGGTATACTATGGTGAGTGCTAGCTTGCAAATAAGGAAACTGAGGCTCAGTGTGGTGCTGTGACTTTTCCAAAGTAACAGAGCTGATGGATAGCCAAGTGGGATTGTAAACCAGCAGAACCCAGGCTATCCCCACTGGCCACTGTCTGCATCCCAGGGAGATGCTTTTGAGCTGACCTGGCCCACTCAGCACCTGCCTGGGGAGTTCTGCAAGCAATGAGGGCTTTCCAGATGCCACATAATCCACCTGCTTCCTCTCAAGCAAGTGTGTCCCTAGCCAGCTTTTCCCAAAGCCTGTTCTCTGCCACCCTTGTTCTCGGCGATGTTGTTAGGAGCTGTGAAAATGCAGGCTTCCATGTTTCAATACATTTGGGGATATTAGTATGAGACAGGCTTCTGTCCTGCAAGCCTTTAATAAGGAAATATCTCCAAGAGGGCTAGAAAGTAGTACAGAATGTTTCTCAAACCTATTTGACCAGGGAATGGTTTTTCAAGGTCTCAACGTGACCTCCTCAAAGCACTAGTCAGAGACCCTCTCCGATGAGTGCGTGGCCAGAGGTGAGAGAGCAGAGTGGTTGTGCACGTGGGGTCCGGAGCCGGGCTGCCTGGGGTCCCATCCCAGCTGTGCCACGTGGTGGCTGTGTGACCTTGGGCAAACTACTCCATCTGTCTGTGCCTCGGTCTCCTCACTTGATAATCACGGATAAGGATATGCATGCAGATTATGTGACACACATCAACTCCTGAGAACAATGCTTGGCACATGTTCAGAGCTCATTCAATGTCAGCTGGCATTTTAGCTCCTTCCAGAGCCTTGCTGAAGGGGATTTCCCACATCCATCAGAGACAGAGTCTGCACCTGGCACTCCCGCCCCCCCCCCGCCCCTGGCACTCCCGCCCCCAGGCCACAGCAGCCACTTGTTCTATAAGACCTGAGAACAATGCAGGAAGACAGAGCGAAGCAGGTTAAAAGACTGCCATTGTTCCCTAGGAGTAACCCTTCCTGCTCCTGATGGCTGGGAAGGACTTCTACTTCGTTTCTTCTTCCCCACAGACGGGCACCTGAGAGTCAGAGACTGAGATTCTAAATCCAACTTACTCTGCACTGGGATCTCCAGTTTCCTTCCCTATACCAGAGAACAGAACAGGCCTCTAATCCAGGGACATGGCCCGGAGAGGGGTGGGGTTAGAGCTCTAAGCAGGCAGAGAAGCTGGATGGCAAAGCTGCAGAGAGGGGACAGCACCAGTGACGGTAGTAAGTGTCCTCCCCTTTGCGAGAAGCAAGAGAGGGGGCCCATGGCCAGGGCGCTTGGGTATTAAATTGGGATCATTAACAGTAGTTGCTGCAACAGACCCAACATCTCAGTGGCATTGAAAGTACATCTTGCTGACTTATGTCTAATGCATATTGGGATGGCCACCTCCGCCCTATAGTGAGAAGTTCTATAACAGAAAACCCTAAGGGAACATATAGTCAGCATTAAGTGGGATACCAAGAATTCCTGGATGACCCTGCTTGCCAAAGCCTTTTTCCTCTGTTGGCCAATTGATGCTCCGCTCTGCCTTGTTGCATATAAAAGACCCTGATGGAGGGGGTGCCTTTGCTTCTGAATGAATTCTCCCAGTTTTTCTAGGACTTCCTAATGCCTAGCCCCCAGAAGGCCTCAGGCTCTGCAGGAGCTGGTATTGGCCTTACTAATTCTCTGCCCATGGCAGAGATGGTTAGTGCTTCCTGAATCTTCCTGTGCTCTCTGCAGTTCCCAGACTCCCTTGCAGTTGGCTGGGGGGGGCGGGGGGGTGACTATCTCTGGCCAACAGACTGTGTGTCACCTCTGGGTTGAGGCCAAGAGCTGTCCACTCCTGCATCCATCTCTTCCTCTGCCAAGATGGCTCTGGAGGCCAAGTGCTCATGGGAAAGCTGGAAGAACTAACTCAGAAGCCGATGCAGCCCCCTCCCGGGTCTTACCTCTGCACTAAGTGGCAGAGAAAGCATTGACTAGGGAAGAGAGAATGGCTTTGGCAGACGGGTTCATCCAGGAATTGTTGGCATTTACATAGCCATTTAATGCCAGGTATTTCTTTCCTATAGGATTTTCTGTTAGACTTCTTGCTGTAATTTGGGGTATAGTGTGCCCTGTGATTCAAATATTCCCAGTAGTACATGGCAACTGTGATAGGCAGCTTGCCTCAGACTATAGCATGAACATGAATTACCTGGGGGTCTTGCTGAGCCTCAGATGCTGACTCTGGAGGCCTGAGTCTGTGTTTCTAACAAACTCCCAGGTGGTGTGATGCTGCGGGTCCCTAGACCGTGCTCCGGATGTAAGGTGATGGGGCAGGGCTGACCTCCAGAAAGTCTGGGAGGAACAGTGCCCGGGGCCCACAAAAATGTTCTCATTTCTTTTTGAATCAGAAGACAACATGAACTATTTAGTCAAAGAAAATGTTTCCATAGATAACATTGATATATTTATCTACACCGACAGAGTTATAAAGTAAGTTTCTTAAGTACAAACGTGCCTAGGGCCCCTAAAAATCCTAACATGGCCCTGGGGGTGGGATGGGAGAGGCTATGCTACCTACAGGGCATAGAACTGTGAAATCACGAAGCTCACACAGAAAACACAAGAGATGCCGTCTGAGGATGTGCCATGCACATGGTAGTTAGCTGCCAGACCATGTCCCTGGGTCTCCTCCACTTAGGGAGCTCTTAGGGGTACTCAGTGTCTCCTGAGGGCCCCCCAGATTCTGGTGCGTGTGAGGTTCATCTCTTCCAAAGGACTGGAATCCAATTGTTTCCCTGCCCCCCACTGCTCCCAGAGCTGGAGAGCCCGGTGCAGCTGGCCCTATGGTGTGAGGGAAGTGGGACCAGGCTCCAGAGGCTGCTTTTGTTAGTGGCAAACACAAGACTACCGTCTCTGATCTGAGCAGCAAATGTCCAAAGCTGAGAGACAAATGCCTTGTTAACAGGAGAATGAATAGGCATTCCCTTCAGGAGTGAGTGTTTCTTAAAAACACAACCTCCCATTTACTTTGGACCTGGTGCTGGTTCTGACTGCCCCTAAAGCCACTGCACGGGGCTGTTAGAGAATGAGCAATAATAGCTGAGTCTCCGAACACACCTGCAGCCCTCCCTGTCACAGACGCAGTGTCTGACACCATTATTGCTCTGGGGTGGCTTCAAACATGAGACTACGGGGGGGGGGGGGGAGGTGAATTGCTAGGCTTGCGGTTCTCAACCTGTGGGTCGCGACCCCTTTGGCAGTCGAACGACCCTTTCACAGGGGTCGCCTAAGACCATTCTGCATATCAGATATTTACATTGCGATTCATAACAGTAGCAACATTACAGCTGTGAAGTAGTAACAAAAATAATTTTATGGTTGGGAAAGGGTCGTTCGACCGCAAAGGGGTCGCGACCCACAGGTTGAGAACCGCTGCTTTAGGGGGTAAGCAGTTCCCAGATGAGGAAACCAAGGCCTGGGAAGGAAGAAGTGATTTTGCTCAAGGGCATAACATCTAAGACTCAGAGCCAAGCCTAGATCCCCAGACCCCTGCTTATACACTGTCTTCATTTCAGCTTACAAAGTGGCAGCAGAAATGGATACTGGAAGACTTTCACTGTCTTTCCTCTCCCCTTTCTTAGGAATGAGCTGCCTGCTAGGAACACACATTCATTCTGCTGTGCTCCACCTGCTCCAAGATTGAAAGGAACCTGCCTCCAGCAGAGGGCATTGGAGAGGGCCGGGGGTAAGTCCGCTTCATTCAATATTAGAAAGCCTACTTGCCTGCAGGTGTAAACCACATTCTCCAATACCAGCTTTCTGCCACAGGTGATATTAGACTGACTTCTCAACAAGCCTTAGAACTTAATCAAAGGAGGGAGGTGATGTTCACTGGGCCTCCTTACTACCCCACCAGGCACCAATTGCCAATCATCTAAAGAATAAGTCTGCCACTCTCCTTGGAGCATTAAATGGAGGTGAGAATGGGACCCAGGATTATGGGCAGTCAGAGCCTCAAATCCAGTGCAGAAGTCTCCTGGATGGAATCTGTGAAGGGGGATAGACAGAGGCTAAGAACAGTCTCAGCTAATGTTTACTGGGTGCCGAGAACACACACTGGGCTAAGGAATTTAACCCTGCAAAGTGGGCACTACTTTATCTCCATTTTACAGGAGGGGAAGCTGAGGCTTGAGATTAGGTGTAGCTCGAGGTGTACAGCGGGTCAGCAGTGGCACTGTGCTGCCTCCAGCACGTGGCGTCTTCTCCCACGGTGACAATGTGGGGAGAGTGGTCAATGCTGAACTCACCCCCAACATAGGGCCAATGCTCTTTTGACTACACCTGCATGAGCAAAGTCAAGGGTGTTTCTGGTTTTCTTCTCTTTCTGATGAACTAGGAACCTTGGACTCTCTGGAAACATCCTCTCTGTTACCTTGTCAGTGGCAGAACTCCCTATGGCCTCTGTGTGTCCTTTCCAGGGTGGCCACCCCGTCCCATACCTATAGCCCCACCATGAACAATGTATCTTCTCGTCCTCTGAGCCTCCTGCCAGCCCACAGGTTCCTAACTTTCCCTGGTTAGCTAGGGTGGCTCAGCTTCCCCATGCCTGCACTCACTGGTACCCCTGCACATAGAACCTGGTTTCCTCTAAGCCAGCGTTTCCTAAACTTGAGTCATCTGCACACCATCCTCATAGTTTCTGCCACGTCTGTGTGCCACTTATGCATTTATTGATTTAATATTCTTTAATTTCACTAGCATTGAGCCAGAAAGCCAGGGTTGAAATCCCAGCTCTGCCATTTACCAGCTCTGTGTTGTTGAGCAAGTTACTTAATCTGTCTATGCTTCAGTTTCTCCATCTGTATAACAGGGATAATACTGGTAACTACTTTAAGGATTGCTATAAGGGTTGCTATAAGGATTAAATGAAATATTGCAGGGAAAGCATTAAAACAGTACTTAGCAGCCCGGCTGGGCTCATGAACCAGGGTCATGGTTTGATTCCTGGTCAGAGCACATGCCCAGGTTGTGGGCTCGATCCCAGTGGGGGTTGGGGGGTGCAGAAGGCAGCTGATCGATGATTCTCCCTCATCATTGATGTTTCTATCTCTCTCTCCCTCTCCCTTTCTCTCTTTCTAAAACCAATGAAAACATCTATTCTATATATATATATATATATAAAAGCCTAAGCGACCATTATGACCGTTCAACCTCTCGACCTGTCTACCGGTCGCTATGACAACGCACTGACCACCAGGGGGCAGACATTCAACACAGGAGCTGCCCCCTGGTGGTCAGTGTGCTCCCACAGCCAACCTCCTGCGGCCGGCCAACCTCCCTCGGTCCCTCCCCCTGGCTAGCCAGCCCCATCAGCCTGATCAGGACTGGGCTAGATGGCCCTGATTGGCCCCAATCACCAGCCAGGCCAAGGAACCCCACCTGTGAATGAATTCATGCACTGGGCTTGTAGTATTTTTATAAAACAGTACCTACCACACATAAGCACTCTAAGTGTTAGCTACTCTTGTCATTACATTTATTTTACAAGGAAACTTTATATTTCTACTGTAAGTGGAAAAGTCAGTACCACTTACTAGTATACCACTAATAGAGAGGAATTGTAAAAGTGAATTAAATTAAAACAGTTACTAAGTTCTAGCAATTGCCTGACAAAGGCTCTGGGCCTGAGGCTTGCTCTCATTTTGTCAAGAAGGGCGACACACAAGTATCCAAACGATGGAGAAAGCACTCCAGGCTCAGGCCAGAGGAACCCTTGTCCCACCTGACCTGGACTCCTTTTTCAGCACTGGGAATCCTGCGGCACCCCTCACTCCTGGGTGCCTCGGATGGAGGCTTTCTCCTTCAGCAAAGGACCGAAAAGAACTCAAAAGGGAACACCGTTCTTCTGATGTGAGTTTGCGTGCTTAGGCTGAGTCAGTATCCCACTTAGCAGCATCTTGCAGCCCACGCCATGGGCCACACTGAACAAGCCCGTCTCTGAGAGCCAAGTTTCCAAATTCCATAAACATATGGAAAGGCCATCATGAGACTGTCCCCAAAGAAACATTTGTAAATGTCTAACGAGAGGAATGATGATTAAACTGTTGCACAGCTAAAATTACATTAGACAACCATTGAAAAATCATACTTTGAAGTATCTTTAATGACATGAAAAAATGATGGTGATAGAATGTTCACTTAAAAAGCAGACTAAGATGTCCTTCATTAGGTGAGTAGATAAACAAGCTGTGGTCCATCAGTCAATGAAATATTATTCAGTGCTAAAAAGAAATGAGCTATCAAGCCATGAAAAGACATGGAGGAACCTGAAATGCATATTACTACATGAAAGAAGCCACTCTGGAAAGGCTACATATTATATGATTCCAATTATGACATTTTGGAAAAGGAAAACTATAGAGGCAGTGAAATGATCAGTGCTTGCAACGTGTTAGGAGGAGACGAATAGGTGGAGCACAGAGGATTTTTAAGGCAATGAAAATGCTCTATGATACTGTAATGGTGTGTACGTGTCACTATACATGTGTCTAAACTCATAGAAGGTACAACACCAAGGATGAACCCTACTGTAAGCTTTGGACTTTGGATAATAATGATGTGCCAGTGTAGGTTCATCAATTGTAGCAGATGTACCACTCTTGTGGAGGGTGTTGGTAATGGGGAGGCTGTGCATGCGTGGAGGCGAGGGTATACAGGATATCTCTGTACCTTCTATTCAATATTGTTGTGAACTTAAAGCTGTTCTAAAAAATCAAGTCTTTAAAAAAATTTTTTAAAGCTGACTGTAAAACCACATATAGTAAGACCCTAGTTTTATAATATATAGAGACATATAAAGAGACACACCACATTATTAATAATATTTACCTCTGAGTAAAAGGATTTGGGAGGGATTTTTTAAAATTTCTTTGTATTTACTTCCAAATAATTTATTTCTTACTTATACCAATTTCTATATTTTCCAAGAAATTTAATAAAGAACATACATTACTTTTATTACCAGGAAAATTCTTGAGTAAAAATTATAAATAAAAAATTCTAGGAAGAAACTAACCAGAGCTAATTACACCCATTCTTCACAAACTGGTTTTCATATCTGTGGCCGACTGGGAGTGGGGTTTTCTGTCTGCCTGACTGACTGTCGCCTGCTTTCCGTCTCCCCTGGCGAGGGCCTCACAGAGAAAGTAGGTCACTTCCCCTGTTAGGACTCTGGGTCTGAAGGCCCATCCACGGAGGGTATCCTGAGCTATCGCCTGAACTCAGAGTCTGGCCTGCAAGGTGCACAGAGCAAACACAACACTCCCTCTCCCTCTTTTCTTCATTTTTCCATCATTTGGGCTGTGACACATGATAACTGCCCCGAGAGCCAGGCTACTAACTAGAGGCAGGGTGGCAACTAACACAGGAAGTGCCTACTTGGGCCCGAGGTGGCCTGAGCTGGAATCCCCGCTCACACCTATCAGCTGTGTGCCCATGGGCATGTCACTTCACAACTCTCACAGCAGTGTCCTCATCCCATCACAGGAATAAGTTAAATAGCCATTCTAGTGCAGATCCTGGCACAAGGTAGGAACTCAATTCATATTGATTTTCTCTCCTCCGTTTACATTTACTACACAAGAACTCACTTCTGTCTCCCTCTCCTGACTCACAAGCTCCCCAAGGGGCAGGGACAGAGTCTGGGGACTCCCAGACCTCTCCTCCCCATCCATCCATGCCTCTGTTCCTCGTCAGTCAGTAAACAGAATCTCCTTGCTGACTGCCAAGCCACAGAGGGCGTGGCTGAGGGGCAGCCCAGTGGCTCCATGGGGCTACACAGGAGCAGTGACAGGGTAGGGAGGGGGTGGATTACTTAAGACCCCCTACTTTGCATCCTCTGAAGCCAGACTAGAAGAATCTGATCATCATGCTTACATACATTATAAACCCTCATGCTTACATACATATGGCACTATTTAACCAGAATACACTTTATAAGCATCATGTCCATTTCTACATAAGAAAGAAAAACAGATCCTGAGCATGGTACACTCCAAGCATCATTCTGGGTACAGGACGCACAGGGGAGAATGAGACGATCTCTGCCCTCATGGGGCTCAGTCTCCATTGCTGCTGGGGATGTGGGGTACATCCATCCCCTGCATCACCAAGACTGAAAGGAAAGGGTGGGGACAGTTTGGGAAGCTGAGAACTGAAAGTGTAGTTAAGCCCACCATGCACGGAATGGAGCTTCCTCTCACAGACACATGGAACCCCTCACCCTGAAACTGTAAGCACCCCCCCCATCTAATTAGTTTCAAGCAGAAGGTATTACATGACCATCACTCTCCTCATCTAAGATACTAAATCCCCCACTCTGTGTCTGGGTGGCCTTGGGAAGTCATTTAACATCCCCTAGTTCTTGCATCCTCCCCTGTAAAATAAAAGTGAAAATAGAGGCCTCATAGCATTGAAGGAAAGCGCCCATGACCCCACATGTAGGAAGTTGAAGGAAGAAGCCCATGACCCCACATGTAGGAAGTTGAAGAAAGGAGCCCATGACATCACACATAGGAAGTTGAAGGAAGGAGCCCATGACCCCGCACATAGGAAGTTGAAGGAAGGAGCCCATAACCCCGCACGTAGGAAGTTGAAGGAAGGAGCCCATGACATCACACATAGGAAGTTGAAGGAAGAAGCCCATGACCCCGCATGTAGGAAGTTGAAGGAAGGAGCCCATGACCC